TGGAGGAATTGGAAGTATGTTTTAGATACAAAGAAGACAGTTATCTGAGAGAACAGGTATCTGAGAGAGAACAAGAGAATGAAGAACAAGTGTAATAATTTGCCCTTGTTCTAATAAATGCCCCCTCTTTGATAGGCACCTCCATCTAATTTGTTTTTGTAAATAAATGTGCCAATTCAATAAGCACTCTTGTTCCAATAGGTGTCTCTATACCAATTAGCGCTCCTCTTCAGTTTCAGTGATGCACTGCAGAGTACATGTACACTTAGATCTATCATGTATGGGTCCTCTTTCTTTAACCCTTGAACTCCCAGATCAATTTTCTAATTCTCCTTACTGTCAACCATACAATTCTTATATTGTTTGTTCAGAGAATTTAGTATTGGATCAATCAATTATCCCAAAATTGATATTTTTCTTTATTTTCATCACTTATCTGGTTGATGTTGTATTGATATTGTAAGGAGAAATTCTGTCTTGGTCACTCACAGGAGTTAAAGGGTTAATTGCTCTTGTAGAGCCTTATAACAAAAACAGTGGTGTTCCTCTTAGTTTCTCAACTATTATGTTTACCTGAGTGCATGGTTCCTTCAAACAAATGACTTTGTCTTAGAATTTTGCTTGGCCAAGAAGGATTCAGGGACAACACCTCCACTTTCCATTTGAATTGATTCTTTTCAAATAACCATCAAAGCTTTGTTTGACACATTTTGCTATTTCTGAAGAAGGAAATGAGCACGCTGTTTTGAAAAAGCACCCTTCCTTAGGGAACCAAATGTAGCTAAGTGCCCTGAGTGCTGAATCAAATCTTTACGGTAATTTAGTTTCTAAGGAAAGTTTCATATTGCTTTAGAGAGTAACAAAAATACTTGGTTGATGAGAGACTAGAAATTAATGAAGAGACATTTAGAACTTAAACAACTGAGGAAATCAGGCATTTCAATCTCACTTGTTCTTTCAGATCAATAAGGATGAAGGATGATACTTAAAATGAGCTTCTCTTGAGTTACTGTAGCAGCCAATTGATTTAACTCTTTTTAATTTTGGGATTATATTGTGCCAAACATCTCCAAATCCCAAATCAGGCTCTCCTGTACCATGTTTCTCATCAAAATAAAATTTCTACCGAAAGCAATGATTTAGTAAAGTAGACATTCTTCCCTTAGCTTTTCACCTGTATTCTAAAATTGTGCACTTTAATTTGCTATCTTCTGTAAATCATCAGAAAGAAATGTACTAAAAATCTAAGAACAAGAATTGTATTAGTACGTTTTCTTTCTTTCTCAAGGAACCTGGCACTTTCTTAGCATGTTTCTCTTAAGAGAGATCTACTTGAGTCTACTAATCTTTCAGTGAGACATGACAGTCAAATAGAAAATCCTTGACTCTGTTGTACGAGAGATGGTTGTGTCTTGAGTCCCTACAGATTAGCTATGCTAGGTACCATTACTTAGGAAGATCAGTAGACTTTCATGGGTAACTTTATTTGAGTATGAAAGATGTTGATATAGTGTAAGTAGAATTCTTACTACAGGTAGTCTGAAGAACCCTCTTCTGATAGTACTGTATTTACTCGTGTATAAGTCAACCTTTTATGACCAAAAAATCAACCTAAAAATTCACCCTCGACTTATACACGAGTCATACATAGACCTGACTCAAGCAATTCAAGAGATTAGCATAACAATTGCCTGAAGTCCATTAGGAAATCTGAGTAATAAAACCAGTTCTAATTGTGTTCAAGTTTCCTAACTTTTCAGTGCATTCTTCGTCGACAAAAAAGTTTGAAATAATAAATTTTAAGTGACTTAACACAAAGCTGTCAGAACTGATTTCTATTGTGTCTTCGGATTGTAGAGCAGACATTTCTTCTTACTGCTTTGCTGCTGTTTACGGTGCTGTACGTTCGTTTCCATCAAACGAGTTCATATAATTTGTGAAAATTGTGAAAGGGAGTCTTAAAGGTGATCTTAAACTACAGATGATAATTTAATT